CACAAGAGTTGTTATGCCTGAGATCATTGTTGCTGACACTGGACCAATCCGTCTCATTGGGTGGGGGTGGGAGGGTTCTTCCTCTTTTTTTTTTTTCTGACCCTTTGTTTTATCAAACACAATATCCTTATTCAGGGACTGGTCCCTCCTGACAACATATCCAAAGTATGAGAGACGAAGTCTGACTTCCAAGGAGCATTTGGACTGTGTTTCTTTCAACACAGATTTGTTTGTTCTTTTGGCAGTCCATGGTGTTTTCAGTATTTTTCTCTAATGCCATAACTCAAATGTATCAATTCTTCTACAGTCTTCCTTATTCACTGTCCAACATTCACATGCATATGAGGTTATTGAAAATACTATGGCTAGGGTCAGATGCACGTTAGTCTTCAAACTGGTGTCTTTGCTCTTGAACACTTTAAAGAGGTCTTGTACAGTAGATTTGCCTAATGCAATACATCATTTAATTTATTGATTGCTACTTCCATGAGTATTGATGGTTGATCCAAGCAAAATATGTCTTTGACAACTTTAATCTTTTATCCATTTATATGGTTGTTGTTTATTCATCTAGTGATGAGGACATTTGTCTTCTTTACATTGAGATGCAACCATACTGAAGGCCAAGGTCTTCGATCTTCATCTGTAAGTCTTTTAAGTCCTCTTTACTTTCAGCAAACAATATTGTATCATCTGCATATCACAAGTTAATGAGTCTTCCTCTCTTCCTGATCCCATGTTTTTTTCATATAGTCCATCTTCTCAGATTATGTGCTCAGCATACAGATTGAATAAGTAAAGTGAAAGAATACAACCCTGCCACATACCATTGTTAATTTTAAACCAGTGTCTCCTTTTTCTGTTCAAATGACTGCCTCTTGGTCTATGTACAGGTTCCTCATGAGAACATTTAAGTGTTCCGAAATATTTGTTCTCTGCAATGTTGTCCATAGTCATGATCCACACAATTGAAAGCCTTTGCATAGTCAGTAAAGCACAGATAAACATCTTTCTGGTGTTCTCTGCTTTCACCCAAAATTCATCTAACATCGACAATGATATGCCTCATTCCACATCCTCATCTGAATTCGGCTTGAACCTCTGGCAGCTCTCTGTCAATGTATATTTGCAGCCGTTTTTGGATTATTTTTAGCAAAATTTTACTTGTGTGAGATATTACTGATATTGTCTGATGACTTCCTCCTTCTATTGGGTCACTTCTTTTTGGAAGGGGCACAAATATGGATCTATGGATCCCTTCCAGTCAGTTAGCCAAATAGTTGTCTTCCAAATTTCTTGGCATAGATGAATGAGTGCCTCCAGTGCTGCATCAGTTTCTTGGGATTTCAGTTTTTATTCCATCAATTGCCCAGAGACTTGTTCTTTTCCAATGCCTTCAGTGCATATTGGACTTCTCCCTTCAATATCTTTGAATCTTGATCATATGCTACCTCTTGAAATGGTTGAACATCGACCATTTCTTTTAGGTACAGTGACTCTGCATATTCCTAACATTTTCTCTTGATGCTTTCTGCATCATTCAATGTTTTGCTGATTTATTTTTGTTGTTCTTATTGTTAAGTACCATTGAGTCGGTTCTGACCCATAACAACCATGTGTAGGTTTTCCAAAGAGCAGCTGGTAATCATCAACAGCCAACCTTACAATTCAAACAGACTTTGCAATCCAGCTCATTAGCCCACAGTGCCACACTAGAAACCCCATAGAATCATTCAATATTGCAAGTCAAGGCTTAAATTTTTTCTTCAGTTCCCTTAGCTTGAAAAATGCTGAGTGTGTTCTTCCCTTTTTGTTTTCTAATTCCAGCTCTTTGCACATTTTTTAAATGATATTTGACTTTGTATTCTTGAGCTACTCTTCGAAATTTTCTATTTAGATCTTTTACCTCCTCATTTCTTCCACTTACCTTATCATCTGTCTCTACACTGGAGATCAAATTTCACAGTCTTTTCTGACATCCATTTTGGTCTTTTCCTTATTTTTTGTCTTCTTAATGAACTTTTGCTTTCTTCCTGTACAATGGTCTTGATGTCATTCCACAACTCTCCTGGTCTTCAGTCTTTAGTGTCTGTTCAATCTATTCTTGAGATGATCTCTAAATTCAGGTGGGATATGTTCAAGCTCATATTTTGGCTCTCATGGACTTGTTTTAATTTTATTCAGCTTCATTCTGAACTTTCTTTTACGCAATTGATGATCTGCTCCACAGTCTGCCCCCGCCTTGTTTTGGCTAAGGATATGGACTTTTTGTACCATCTCTTTCCACAGATGAAGTCAGTTGGATTTCTGTGTATTCCATCTGATGAATCCCATGTGTCTTTTATGTTGTTTAAAAATGGTATCTGCGCTGAAGAAGTCATTGGTCTTGCAAAATTCTATCATGCAGTCATTGGTCTTGCAAAATTCTATCATGCGATCACCAGCACTGTTTTTCTCACCAAGGACATATTTTCTGACTACTAATCTTTCCTCTTTGTTTCTAACCTTTGCATTCCAATCATGATTCCAATACATCTTGATTGAATGTTTGATCAATTTCAGACTGAAGAAGTTGATGGAATTCTTCACTTTCATCATCACTAGCTTTAGTGGTTGGTATGTAAATTTAAATAATAATGGTATTAACTGGTCTTCCTTCTAGGCCTATAAGATATTATCCTATCACAGATCTTGATGTGTTCTTTTTGATAATTAATGTGACACCATTCCTCTTCAATTTGTCATTCCCAGCATAGTAAACAATATGTTTCTCAGATTCAAACAGCCAATACTAGGCCATTTCAGCTCAGTAATGTCTAGGATATCGACATTTATGTGTTCCATTTCATTTTTGACAATTTCCAATTTTCTTAGATTCATACTTTGTACATTCTATGTTACAGTTGTTAGTGGATGTTTATAGCTGTTTCTCTTCAGTGAGTTGGGCTCCATCAGCAAATGAAAATCACAAAGGCTTTACTCCATTCGTGTCATCATGGTCAACTCTACTTTGAGGAGGCAGCTCTTCTCCAGTGATATTTTGAGTGCCTTCCAACCTGAGGGGCTCATCTTATAACGCTATATCTGACAATATTTTGTTACTCTTTATCGTGTTTCAATAGTTAGTATTCTGGTGCTATCTGACAGTGTTTTGCTGCTAATCATAAAGTTTTCACTGGCTTAATATTTGTAAGTAGTCTGTCTCGCCGTCTTCCAAGCCTGTCTTCTTCTGGAAGCTCATTTGAAACCTGTCCACCATGATTGACCCTGCTGGTATTTAAAATACACGCGGCATAGCTTCCAGAATCCTAGCAACATGCAAGCCACCACCATATGACAAACTGACAGATGAGTGGTGGAAGCCCAAGCATAGAATGATAGAATGCAAACAAGTTTGAAGAAGAAGCAGCATTATTGTGCTAGAAAAAGACACCTGAAACAATATTTCAAGAAGGTGGAAATACTCTACAATGCCAGTTGGTCCTGAAAGGACAGATAATATGAGGACTAAGAATTGAACATACTTTTATGACTTTGGCTAGATTTGAGAGATAAATATAGGAAAATAACAGAATTGTCCTATATTGGTTCTTTCCTTCAAACCTTCCTTCTAACAAACCAAATGTTACGGCCTTAAATTACCATTCAAGAAGGAAATTTATTTACGTAACAGACACTGTATTAAACCCTGTTGATCAAAAAGAGCCATGGTTCTTGTTCTCTGGGAGCATAGAGTCTTTGTTAAATTATTCTAAAAACAGAAGATGCATTTTTCTTGTGCAATGTATTACTTTAATTCTTTGAAGAAGACAATTCTTAGATTCTGAAAAGGTGATGCTTAAGAGAATAATTAAATATGAATGATTTTTAATGTCATTAAATGCCTTAAAAGGAATAAAAGGACATTGAAAATGTAGGACCTAGGAATAAAAGAAAAACAGTAAATTTTCCTTTAGTAGGAAACTTCATGAGCCACCAATAAACAATGGGGAACCAAGTGAGTATAATTATTGCTTACATTTCATGGCTCTTTAAACAAAACAGATTGCTGTTTCCATTTTAGCTCTTTATTTTGGATATGTGTTTTCTGGGTGTTCTTTTGTTGTTTGTGGTTCAAATACATATTTCTTATTTTAATCTTTATGAAGCCCCAGATGTTTCTTGTGTATAATGTGTTCACCTTAGAAACTGGATATAAGTCATATGGGAAATAGAAATTCATTTCTCATGTTTATTTTATCATTCCCAAATATGTCCTTATAGTATAATTGATAACATTATATTTCTTGGGAATCATAAAACATACTATTAAATTTTATTTTAACTTGTAGCATTTATAAGGAGCCCTGGTAGCATAGTGGATTACAACCTGGGCTGTTAACTACAAGGTCAGCAGTTCGAATCTACCAGTTGCTCCATGGATTAAAGATAGAGCTTTCTGCTCCTGTAAAAATTTATAGCCTTGGAAATGCTAGAAAGGGTCACTATGAGTCGGAAGTGACTCAGTAGCATACAACCACCACCACTACGATGTTGTTTTTGTTAAGTGCCGTCCGTCATGTCAGATCCAGTTCATAGTAGCCCTATGTAGGGTTTCTGAGGAGCGGCTGGTGAGTGTAACTTTGTGGTCAAGTGCTTATCCCACAGGGCCACACCAGGACTCCATACCACCAGTATTTATAAATATGTCCGAAATTTTTATACTAAAGAGTAAATTTTCTATTTAAAAATTCATGTACTACTCAAAATAGAATTTATTGCTTAAGTATTATTTTTCATAATCATCAGAATCTGCAATTGCATTTTAAAGAATTCCAGTAGTGCTAGAGAGATTGAAATTGTGCTATTCAAAACTGCTGACACTAAAATCTAGGAGAATGTAATATAAATGAAAACCGTTTTGTGAGGTGTGTTCAGAAGTGCACAAAACATGGGATGTTCTGAAAATCGTCTTGCTAAATATTTTTCAAGCTTTTCATTCTTCATTTTCTTCCCAACAGGAGGATTATGCTGACTGTGGGGGTGTTTCTGGATTAAATCCCTCTCTGTGGTGTATCATCGGAATCCAATGTGCACTGCTTTGGCTGGTATCTGGTAGCAGACATTGCCAGTTATGACCATCTAAAACCAAAATCTGCATAATTCAACTCCAGACTCTGCCAAAACATGAGCCCACAATTGCATTAACATAGAGTCAACTATCAAATAAATAGAGTAGCTGGACCCATCAAAACAAACTAAGGAAGAAACCAATCAAATCCATTGTTGTCAGGTGGGTTCTGATCCCATTATAACCCTGTAGGAAAGAGTAGAACTGCCCATAGGATTTCTAAGGCTGTAAATCTTTACAGAAGCAGACTGCCACATCTTTCTCTTGTGGAGTGGCTAGTGGATTCAAACTGCCAACCTTGCAGTTAGGAGCCAAGTGCTTAACCAATGCACCACCAGGGCTCCTTGTAGCTAGGCCCATACCATGGTATAACTCTAAAGCGCAGACTCATAAGGTGCCACTGGCTGCATGTCAGGATGTCAGATCCTTAAACTTGTGTGAATGCTGCATCATTTATGTATAACATCAAAGCAAAATTTTATCCGTGCTCTCCTGGGAAAGCTGAAAATCTGTTGTTGCATTGTTGATTTCATGTAAAAGGGCTCCCCATAAGATCACTTAATGAATTGTAAGAATTGTCTTGATTGTTACCTGGAATGTTGACTTGCTGCAGTCCTTGTTCTTTTACTACCAGTAAGATCCCTAATGGGGAAAACACAAAAAGTTACTTATGTCCTCACATATTCTGTTCAAACATGATTACAGCTTTGCCTAGTTATTGAAAATATATGTGTAGAGAGAGAAAAGCATTGGTCTAAATTGTTGAAATACAATCGCTGATTTTCTACAAAATTTGCCATGAATAAAAATGCCTTATGAAGAATGGCTTCTCTGCCAAAAATGTAACACCATTAGTGACCAATTAAGCTCTTATGGGGTATAGAATTGCTGATTTAAAAATTATTAACCAAGATATGATTAAACTAACGGTGCTTGCTGGTGAAAGTTGAATATGTGGCGTTGTTCCTCATAAATGTAAGCCCTTAATCAGTGCTTCAATATAATGTTTCCTTTGTTGACTGTACATGTAGTGCTAACCAGATATTTCAAAACGCTCTAAGAAAAGCTTGTTGTGGGGAGGGGAAAATGTTTTTTTGTGTAATAAATGAACTTTGGTTACCAAGGGTATTTTGCATGATGCTGCTGCTATTTTAACTTTTTTGTTTGTTTGTTTGTTTTTTTCTTACTGTAGAATGTAGTCCATTGAAAAGTTAACTGAGTGACATTATTGTTATGTAAAAATCTGAACCTTGCAGTGTAATGCACTTAATTCATCTTTTAAAATGTAAAACTACTCTGAATATACTGTGCAATATAATGCCCTACTGAGGATTGGGTAAGGTAAATGGTGAAGTGGGAATTAATGGATTTTATACAGATTTGTGCTTTTGCCTGAAAACCTATGTACAGATATTTTAAGTACATAAATCAGATTTGACACATTTATTTTTTGAAAAGTACATATATGTTCTCAATGAAGATTCATCCTAGGTTTCCTCTTTGTTCATTTGAATAGTAGCACATCTAATCCAAAAATTTCTGCTGCTGCTTTCGTCCTTTTGTTTAAAATGGTCTGATCACTTGACCAAACTTTTCATGATGATGATTTTACAATAATCTGAACAAACAGGAAACCTTGAATCTATATGTATGCACATGAATACTTGATTGTGAATAATAAAAATTGTTTTTATACAGCTTCATTGGTAAAAATGGTTAGTGTAGTAAATCAAATATTTCATTATAGATTAATATGATAGAATATTATTTATACTCTTAGAATTTATTTTCAGGAGTAAGCAGTATTTAAGAAAAGGATAAAAACAATGAATGTGTAGCTAGTAGTAGTGAATAATTTTGCTGAAGGCTGGAAGTATGCAGATACTTTTTATAGTAAAATGCATTTGCTCTTCTTTTTTTTATTTTTGAACATGCCAAATATTGGTATGTATATATGCTGGAAATTTTCTTAAATATAATTTGAAAGTCAAAATCTTATTACCAGTATCCAGCATGCTTGACTGTGATCCACATATCAAAGATATAACCAATTATTTAGCACAGTTTAAAATATATATTTGTTTTGTTTTTAGCTTTAAAAACATTTGTAAATCCACCCATCACCAATATACCCTAGGTGCCATTTGTGTATATCTCTTTATTTAAAATACTTTTTTTTTTTCTTTATAAAAGGGGTTAGGGGACAATGGAATCACTTTACCAACTATTGTTCTAAGAGTTGACATCAGTTACCATTTCTAATGCATTGTTGTGATTTTGTAGTCTCATTTATAAATGGTATAGACATTTTAGAAAACACCAAAGTGATTTAAGAAAATGAAACTTCTCACTCTAGTAACAATGTGTTTAAATCATGTTGTTTGTTAATTAAACACTTAAAACTTGTTGTTAACTTTGCTAGACTATTTTAAATCATGAAAGTGTTGGGAAGGGGATATCAAGATACAAAATTATGCTAACATGTATATAAATGGCACACATTAAAACAATCAAATTGCTTCCAGCAGACAACAAACTACCTTAAAATTATTATTAAATTTATAAAATATATTTTCATGGCTAATGTCACGAATACAGTATGTTTTCATCAACAACATTGTTGTTACCACAATTAAACTTGGCATCTCTTGACAGGATCCTATTTGATTTCTATTGCTATCTAAATATATTTACATATACTAATCTTGCTATGATACTTTATTTTCTCTTATAAAATTAAATTATATATTATATCACCACATACATGATAATAAATTAGATAAGAACATGCTCTCTGACCTAAAATTGTCCTCATAACTGATACAAGTCTTCGCACTTTTGGCACACTGTTTTATGACGGTAACACTTAAGCCACCAAATTCTTATATTAAATTTAGGCTTTTTCTGGGAGTTTGACGAGAACTTTAACTATGGCTTGTTGTTAATACTGACTTCCAAAGATGAAACAGTACAAGAAATCAAGAAAATTGCTTTTTAAATTGTTTTCACTTACATAATTTTTGCTCGACACAAGCGTTATGTAGTTTGTCACTGAAATAAAATCAAAATATGTCTTGCATAATATTAAGTAATAAGAAAGATATTTGCATTAATGATTTCTTTATATTTTCTTCATTTGAACAACCAGCATTACTGCCAAATACCAGTCGTGGTCCATATTTGTAACAGGTTTTTAACATGACATAGTTAGCAAGTTTGATTGACGAGATTTTTAGGTCCTGGGCCTATAAGATTTTAGTATGATCTTTTTTCATGTTTCTAATGCTTGAGGCATTATTGCTTAACTTGGAAAAAACAAAACAGTGTTGCTGCCATTTGTAAGTTTTCCTATAATATTCCTTTTATTAACTTTAAAACTAGCCTTACTGGGTTCAAATAGGCAGTATCCCTTTTAAGTGACCTTTGCAACCCAAGTGTTACTTGCTTATTTGATGCTCTCTTGTATTTTACATCTGTTTAAATACTTTTCTGTCTCCACCAAAGCTTAATTCCTATGTCTTAATTCAAAACTCTCAAACTATTCCATCAATCATGTCAGTTGACATTAAAATTTCTAGAGATATAGAATGTGACTTACTGAAACAAAATGGAAAGTTATGATGGGTTTAAAGTGTAGAATATAATGTCTATTTCATTTGCCCCCCCAAATTCTAATATTTTATTATTATCTGGAACTTGTGGTTTTTTTCCCATAGCAGAATATTAATATTGTTAATATTCAGTGTACATATCTGTAAAGAACAAATCAATAAAAGGAAAATATCAATTATTGGAAAAGTTGAAGAAATTCAAAGATTAGACCACCTTTACCAATAGTTTCTCTTACCTTGTTTCTAGTTCCAATAATTATCTCAAAGGTATTCCACTGAGACACGGATACTGTCCTGTATAGATGCCAATTGAGTTTACAGTGTGACTGGCAAGCTGTCTTTTTCTTGTGTCATATGGTTGTTGGATCATACTTTGGGGGATATTTTATTGAAACACTCAGTGTGCACCCATGCAAAAGACCAAGTGGCTTTTGTGAACAATAGACCCTTTCTCCCCTTTATTATGTTCTTTTGACATTTTTGTGGAAATTAACTAGCCTGATTAAAAAAAAAAATTTTGTAAAATTTGTATAGTACTGTTATAAAAATATTTATAATCCCAGAAAATGTTGTGTTAATTATTGTGCAAAAAACAGTATATTCAGAATAAAAGTTTATCATTTAAAATCATTACACAGTTTGAATTATTTGCTCTCAGACTGAGTTGAAATAGTCAGAGGGCTGTGTGAGGAGTACAGTTTAGAAATCAAGTCTTAATGCGGAGAGAATTCTGAACAGAAAACTTTAGATTACAAAAGTGCTTTCATAATTTTAAACCCAGCTCATCAATAAATACGTTTTCACCTCCTTTACATAAATCTTACTTCTCAGGTGTGCCTCTACCATCAAGGCATTTAGCAAACACTGAATCAGATTTTGGACTTTTATTGTAAGAAAAAAAAATTCTAAGCAAAAATAAAGGTTCCATGTTTCTTTAAACACCTTGGAAAATAATCTGAAAGAAGCAAATTAGACTATCTGAAATGTGCATGTATTTTATACATCTAGATATACATCTGGAGTCCTGGTGTGGCACTGTGGGCTAATGTGCTGGACTGCAAGGTTTGAACTACAAGGTCACCAATTCAAGCTCACCCACTGCTCCTTAGAAACCCTTTACTGGGTTGCTATGGGTCAGAACCTACTTAACGGCACTTGACAACAACAACTTATATTCATCTGGAGTGGTGCTATGGGTTAATACGCTGGACTGCAAAGTTGGCTTGAACACAAAGCAGTGGTTCAGGCTCACCAGCTGCTTCTCAGAAACATTATACAGGGTCGCTATGGGTCGGTACTGACTTGACAGCACATAACAACAACAACAAACTTTAAAATATTTCACCTAGCTATGTAAAACTAAACAGCAGTTGAGGCAAAGAGATACGAACACTGTGTTTCAAAAAACCTGTATTAGATCCTTTTTACCTTTCTACCAGTTTACTTTCTGACC